TCCCCTATCCCCTGGGGGGGGAGGGTGAGTGAGTGGTTGGTTGCCGGTCAGGTTAAAACCATGACACCTTGTAAGCAGTATACCTTTTCCTTGGAAATTTGGATAAACAAGAACAAGAATTTGGCAGTTGACTCTGGGACAGAAATTTATCCATTTTCTTTATAATTATAAATTTGCTTTCAATTTAATAGTGCTATGCAAAGAATAAAAAGTAAGTCCTGCTAGGCTATTTTTTCAGTTACTTACCATGTTATATTAATAGGTACCCACACGTTTTTTTGGGGGATAGTTAGCTAGTTACTATCACAGTGACAGTTAACTTTTCATGGCAGTTTTTGTAGTCACTATTCACATTGCATTTGGAAAACTGTAGCTCACACATCTTTTTATTTAGCTCTGTGTAAAATGACCCACTAGTAACTCAAAGAATGGAAAGGAAAGGGAAAATTCTATCAGCTATTGTCTGTATTTACAACAAGAAAGCACATACACTGATGAAATGCTATCAGTTCTATCAGCCTTTCTGATGTGACTTGGTTTGATGTGATCTGACATAGTAAGACATGTGTCACATGCATTAAAAAAAAAAAAAAAATCTATGGAGTAGCTTTTGTCTACAGTATGTTTGTGAGTGCAATTTCTGGGACACAGACACCTCTATTTACAAAATGCCCTCCATTTCAAGGGAAGTAGTTCTACATTGCTCTATTGTTTATTTTCACCAAGGAAAAAAATTAGATTCAGGGTAGAAAAGCTTGTATTTTTTAAGAATGAACAGGAAAATGGAAGTGTTCTGACCAAGTTGCATTATTCTACAAGTCACTGAAGAAAAAAAGGATGCTACTGAAATTCTGATTCACACTCAGTTAATTTACAATATTTAGCCTGTAATCCCTTATGGACTATATTAATGCAAACCATATCCTGCCTCTCAGCTATAAAACTGTGATGCATGTGGACCTAAGCCTCTTATGTGAGATTTTAAATACTCAGGCTTTATAGGCAATTAAAAAAAGAATCTCCCAATGGCAGGAAAAGATTGACAAGCCATAGCTGTCAGCAGCAGTCAAAGCGTAACTAACATGTTTGGCATTCCCTGGCCTGGAGAACACAGATTTCCTCTGCCTGTCTTATCATGCAGGAGATTAAAAGAAGAGGCTAAACATCCAAATTCAGTGCTGAAGCAGTTATTTTCAAGCTTGACAAAAGGAACTGTAACAGGCATCAGTTTCTCTGACCATGGCATTTGGCCTAGCACAGGATGATGGCTCACAACTTCAGAGAGAAAAGCTAAGCAGATCCACGTTTTGGTGCCTTGCTAACAAAATTTACTCTTCCTTGCTAATAAAATTCAAACCTAATATTATATTAACATATAGTATTAATGAATGTAAACACTAAAGAAAAAGCTTTTTGCTTGAGCTAGTAGCTACAGATATGCTGAAGAGTCTATAGTGTTTGTGCACAGGGCACTTTGCATATTTTTATCAGAAGGATAAGCATTTCCTTCATGAGTTATTAACATTTTCCAGTCTGGACTCTTAACCTTTGGGACCTGGTTTTGTGCAGCAAGTTTGAAGCTGGAAAACCATGAGAAATCTGAAATGCCCCTTTAGTCTGTAATCATCTTCTCAGTCTACCAAAATGGAGATGGAGATTTAAAAAATTGGGATAATAAAGCGCTTGTGAGCCCTGGGGAAACATAGGTTGACTGCTACACTCTTACAGTTTTGCTCTTCCTTGTATTTCAACTTACAATATCATTTAGACCCTTTCTCTTTGCTACTGGATACCATAAATGGCCTTTCCTACTCAGAGACTAACTATTCAGGACAGCTGTGAGAGCATGTTCTGCAGCACAACAAGCAGGACAATCTTGCTAATGAGAATGAAAATCTTAAAGGTGGTATCACATGTAACAATAAGCACGTCTTTAGCATGTTGAAGAAATGGCAGGACCACGCACGATGCCCACACTACTGATGAAGATTACCTCTCCTCACCTAATTGTCCCTTGAAGAAAGCCCTTGAAGTCATATTCTATAGCTGCTATTTTATCCTTTGTGACACAACCTGTAAAACTGGATTACTGTACATACCAAGAACACTTTTTGAAAATATGCTAACTTACTTTTCTGGTGTAGACCTTTCCCTCAGACGATGTGGTGGTACTGGAGGTGGCACATGTGGAGGTGGTAAAGGAGATGAGACCTTAAAGGCATCGGAGCTACTGTCAGAAGCGCTTTTAGACAATGGTCTGTACGTCTGTGTCTTTGCAGCCGGGTGTGCCTGCGCCGAGAAGGATGGACTGTAGCTACCTAATATCAAACAAAACAAGAAATAGTCACAGCATAAGAATGATTTTTAATAAAACACAACATAGAATGCCACAAGGGCCCAAACTTAATAAAGGTGCAAGGTTACAAAAATGTCTAAATGCATTTTTAAATGTACTTTGATGTATAGTATGTAGCTCATTAGAATACTTTTAATATATTTCTACATAAAACTACAAGCACACAGATAAAATGTAGTATAGTTAAAATAAATTAATGATTAATTTGAGTGGAGGAGAAGTTAATGGCTATATGTAACCACCAGAACTGTTAATGACAGCCTGTTATTAATCCTCAGGATCATCCTGCCTCTCAGTTGTTCTATATTCAAAAGGAAGAGAAGAGTCAGGAAAAGCCCATTTTTTTTCATTGTTTTAAAAATTACTGTTAGTCTAGGACAATTAGGCAACAGCATATCTTGAAAAGGATTACAAGAGTCCAAATAGATCTCAAACAATTGACCCACAACAAATGCTCTCAACAGTAGACAAAAGGCAGAATGAGAATATGTTGAACGCAACAAACACTGAAATGGAAGAATAGTGAATGCCATTTTTGCACAAGGCACTATGCACTATGGGGTTTTTTTTCATATATAATCTTTCACTTTTTCACTTTGGTTCTTGTAATTAATTTTACCACATGGTTATAATCTTCTGAAAGACAAAACAATTATATATCTATTAAATGAATATGTCTTTCTTGTAGATAAATAAGTGTTTATAGCAAAAATTAACAAGATCATAAACCAGGGTCATGTTTATTAGGCACTCTCACTGTGTATTTTAAAAAAGTGTTTTCAGTACAACCTTTTTGTCTTCCCAGCTATATAATTAGCATTTGTACTTTCACACAGTAGTTCCCTTTTCATTTTGATAAGGCTGTGTTACTCACAATCACTAGTGAAAATAAATGCAATGTAATCAGAAACTGCAGTATTACAGTGTATCCCATCTGCAGTATAGAGGCCCACAGCTGCAATTAATTTCTGTGGTACGAATGAAACAAAAATTAAACTTTGTTTCATTTGGGAAAAAAGGCATGAAAAAACACCAACTGAGATCAAACAAGACAATAAAAGGTGTTTATATAGGCATTACAAAAGCAAGCATGAATAGTTAAATACCCCTGTTACTTGCTGACATTAACAAAAGACTCATTTTGAAGTGAGGGAATATTTCCTACCAGTACTGTATGCATATGCAGCATTATACATGTCTGTGTCGTCATCTACAAAAAGAAATATACATGTTATAGCAGAGCAATAGGTGCCAGTTTATCACAGCAATGCAGCTTGATTTTTGGAAACAGAAACAGAAGATTGGTAGGCAGTCAAGCACTGTATTTCATTTCCTCATCTCATAGGTGTTTTCTGAAGACACTCTTTTCCCATTATACTTACCATAGGCTATTTTTATGATTTATTGGCAAAATGGTATCTTCTTGTCATGTCACCCATATTATGTACTTACTGGTTAGCACGGATTTACAAATTACAGCTAGTAATGCCACCAAAGCTCCATTTCAGCAAAACCAAACAAGACATTCTATGAAAAAACTGCAATTCAAACAGAAAATGTATCCTCAAACAGCCTGTTTACTAGCCCATGCTGTTCTAACACAAGCCCTCCAAATGAAAGTTGGAATGGTAGGAGATTTACAGTGGCCAATTTCTCATCCCTCAAACTGGAGATGAGGATCACTTCACTGAGCTCCCCAGTGACATGGAATCATACTGGTTGCACACTTATTCTCATAACTTTAATTTTTATTTAGTTTTAGTAATAAAATAAATCCATTAGAAATTTTCAGCCTCTAGCAGAGGAAAATAGCTGTCTCTGAAGTAAAATCTATCATCCAATTTATCAATTTGATTTGATTAATTATCTGACACTTGATAAACATTTGCTTTTTCACATAGCAGACAATCAAAATGCACAAAAGTGCTTTTTTTAATACCACTGAGAACCACCTAGCCAAGACAAAAGCATACTTACCAGGCTTATGAACCATATGGATTTGCTTGAACATTGTCTTGTACCAATCCTTCGGCCTGTCAACTGTCTAAATAAAATACAGTTTTTTAACAATTAACAAAAAAATAAAAATACCTGCGTGTACATATGTGATCAGACATTTCACATTATTCTGGACACAAAGTCTATTATGTTTTGCCCCCTATTTAATAATATTTTTCATACCATCTATCTCAAATGGTGTATTTATACCTTTCATTTAGGAATTCCTGTAACAAGTTCTGGAAGACACTGAAGATTGAGTCAGTTTTGGACTCTGATTCTGGAGGGTACAATGGTTAGGAACATAGGAATTAGTGCCAGATCAAGAGTTTATTTTCTTAGTGCCTGATATTTGACAACGAAGAATGCTAGATACTTTACAGAAAATAAAAACACCGCAGCATGTAAGAAAAGCTTCTTTTGAACTCCTGGCAATTTCCAACTTAAATTATCTTCAAAATGTAATTGTTAAATAATGCAGAAAAACTTTGGAATACTACCAAGAAAAGAATTAAGACAATATTATATTTAAGAGTTTATGTTTAGATTGTAAACAAACAGTATTTCCTTTCATCAGTTTTAAATTCCCTTTCCAAGCAACTTAATTTTAACTTATTTTTCTATTTTGACAAAAGTGATATCATATACCTTTCAATAACCAGTCACTAAATTACACTTATCCTTACCTTTGTAAGCTAAGCAATCCCAAAGTCCCCAAGCTCTCCTCATATCAACACTTGCTCATGTTTCTATTTATTTTTACCTCTTACCCTTCTGCATTTTCTGTTTTGCTGCAATTTTGTTTGAGATAGGATAATATTTCAGAAAAAGTGATAACACAAAAGCAAATATGTTTGATTATTATTCTTCTTAGGTCCTAAAATTTTACTTGTTCCAAAGCAGTCAGAAAAGCAAAAGTTTTAATGTAGATGTACAAAATTATCTTAAAACTTCATGGTGCAAAGGGATAATTCAAAAGACTCCTCTTGATGTGCATTATCTTGCATTAGTTAATATTAAATCTGCAATCACTCTGTCCACTCCTCTTTATCATGGAAAATGAAAATCCACAAATTCTTCTCTACAAAATAACCGACAGATCTGAGTGTGTTCACCTGGCTCCACGCCATCTTTAGTGAATCACACTTTTCCCCCAAATACTTGTTACAGTTTACTGTAAATAATTAATCTGTTTTGTTAACAGCGATGAGCTCTCACTATATGGGACCAAGCAGAAAATGCTCCCATATTTTGAGGAATCAATAAGATTTTTCATAAAATTGCTACTAAGTGACATTTGGAAAAAAAAAAATTGTTTAAAAGAAGAGCTGACAGTCAGCTGAAGAACTCGGGTCTGCTGGGGAAGAAAAAAATTTAAGCAGCAGGTTATGCTTTTTACCCAGACCTGCTTGCAAGAGATGGAGATACCGTTTTGTATCAAGAGCAGGTCCCTTCCCCCAACTACCAACATTCCTGACTTCTGCCAAAAAGGAGATATTCAGAAGCAGATTTGGACCATTTTAACATTCTTTCC